GTAGGTAGGTAGGTAGGTAGGTAGGTAGGTAGGTAGGTAGGTAGGTAGGTAGGTAGGTAGGTAGGTAGGTAGGTAGGTAGGTAGGTAGGTAGGTAGGTAGGTAGGTAGGTAGGTAGGTAGGTAGGTAGGTAGGTAGGTAGGTAGGTAGGTAGGTAGGTAGGTAGGTAGGTAGGTAGGTAGGTAGGTAGGTAGGTAGGTAGGTAGGTAGGTAGGTAGGTAGGTAGGTAGGTAGGTAGGTAGGTGTATTTATTTATTTATTTATTTATTTATTTATTTATTTATTTATACTCTGCCCATCTAGCCCAAAGTCTATTCTGGGCGGCTAATAGCAATACATAAAAGTAAAAGCAATTTAAAAATAAAAACAACAGTATTAATATGGCAACGAATAAATTAGGTGATGATGGGAGGGAAGGCCTGTCTACAGAGCCAGGTCTTAAGTTTGCTCTTACAAACACCCAGCAAGGGAGCCAGGCACATTTCTGCAGGTAGACTGTTCCAGGTAAACTATTCCAGAGGCAAGGCTACTTCCGAGAAGGCCCAGCTTCTTGTTTTTTCTCTCTGGGCCTCCCTTGGTGTTAGGCCCCTCAGCCACCCATCCTGGCTAGAACAAGTGATTCGGGTAGATCTAGGTGGGAGGAGGCATTCCGCTAGATATTGAGGCCCTAAACTGTTTAGGGCTTTATATGTCATCATTAACACTTTGAAATCAATGGAGAAACAAATGGACAGCCAGTGTGGGGCAGCCAGAGTGGGGGATGTTTTCTCACTCCGGTAAGAAATCTGGCTGCTGCATTCTGCACCATTTGAAGCTTCTGCATCAGTCTCAAAGGTAGCTCATGTAGAGCGCATTACAGTATTCTAATCTCGTGACTACAAGAGCATGGACCAGGGTGGTAAGTGCCCCAACATCAAGACAGGGACTCTGGGCAATCTGCCAAAGATGGAAATAGGCTGGGCTACCATGGTGAGTGCCGGATCCAGATGGACCCCCAAGCTGCGAACCTCACTTTTCGTGGTGAGAGTAACCCCCTCCCAAAAGAGAGGAGTTTCCCAAACTACCGATGGCGGGGCCACCCACTCTCAGGACCTCTGTCTTGTCCAGGTTCAGCCTCAATCCATTCACCTGCATCCATTGCAGAATGGCCCCCAGGCAGTGCTGATGGGACGAAACGGCATCCACTGTTGTGGGGAAAAAAAGAGATGTAGAGCTGGGTGTTATCAGCATACTGATGACACAAAGCCCCACATCTCCTGATGACTCGACCCAGCGGCCTGATATAGATATTGAACAGCATTGGGGAGATAATCGAGCCCTGTGGAACCCCACAATTGAGATTCCATGGGGCCGATACACCCTCGCCAAGCTGATATGAACTCTTACTAGATATTCTGCAAGTCTGAAACTTTCTTTAATAGTACAGGATTCCAACCTCTCCTCAATGCAGAGTTAATGATCTATATAGTTTGGCAAGCTCAGATAAATATCATTCTAACTGTAGAATGATACCCTTCTCAGAAGGCTTTTCCAAGGCTGCTTGGGAGTGTCTCACTCTATTGGCAGGTCATGTGGTGCACTCCCAAATTCGTATTGTTATATCTAACAGAACGGATTCTTGCAGATCTCATAAATTAACTGGCAACAAGCTCAATTCCATTTTATCATACAGAACATTGCTGTTGTAACAGAGAAATGCATGTTTGATGCACCATTCCTCATTACAGTTTCAAAAGAGTTTCATCAGGAAGTAATTGTGGGAAAGATGTGCTGATAGCCCTTGATTCTTTTCACATTTTTAAAAAAATCCCTCAGTTATCTTCCAATCTTCTTCCTAGGGTGTTGCTGCCACAAGGTTTTTGCTCCATCCCACTATATTTTTTTGTTCATAAGGGACTGTATTTATAACACTGTTGGTGATAATGACCAGGTGAAAAGTGTTGATAGGAGAGACAGCAAATATATTTTTATGAAATTCAATTTTATTAGTCACTACCTAACACCTGCCAGAACATTAACTCGTATGATCAGTTTCTCTTTATTCATTTATACAATACTACCAACCTCAGTTTCAACCACATAAATATAACCTTCCCTCACACAGTCTCTTTTTCTCCTCCCACAGAATCCCTCTCTTAATTGTTGTAAGCCGCCCAGAGACCTTTGGGTAGAGTGGGCGGCATATAAATTAAATAAATAAATACAAATTAAATAAATAGGCCTACTCTGTTGCTATCTATCTCATTGTTATTAGAGAGTCATGCTTAGAGGGGAGTAACTAGTTTTCTCCCCTCTCCTTTGTTATGTTTTCTCCACCTGCAGAAGGATGTGCCTTGAGAACATAAACCCCTGGTCACCTACAATGCCAACACAAAAGCAAGAATCCTGATTTTTTGAGGTGGCTGCTCATGTGTAGAGCCTACTCCCAAGTAGTAAATTTTCCTCTTCAGACCCATTTCTATGTGGAGAAAGCAACAATGGATAGGGGAGATGCCAGATAGCCCTTTCCACACATGTTGACAACTGGGTAAATGATGATGAAGCAACACCCAGTCATTAGTTACCTACCTACTTCTCGGCAACATACTTAAAAAAAGTTCCTAGCCCTACTCCTCTCCATCATCACTTTCTCCCTATTGGAAGTGACATATCTAAAGAGAGGCATCCTGGTCAAGTGTAGACTCTACACATGAGCATGAACCCTGGAAAATTGGAGCCTGCATGGAGAAACTGCTTGCATGAAGGAACATTTTTCATAAATGTTGCTTTCGCTGTGGAGAAAGTGATGGTACAGCCAGGAGAGGCTAGGTGCTCCTTTCTAACCATGTTGCTGAGAATTAAGTAAGCAACAACAGACTTGAGTCTCTCCAGCTCATTCACATTGCCTCATCCCAGCAGCACCTCCCCCTCTCATGCTTTCTGCCAATCACCAGATATTCCACACCTGTCAATCGACTTACATATATGTTCCTCACATTACACTGCAATAGAAAAACAGAAAATAATTCAAAAATTATACACACATGTATGCAGTGAAAACTCTGTTATTGAATTGCTTTAGGCTTGCCACCTAAAAATAATGTCAATACTCCAAGTAGTTGAAAGACTGAAGACTTAATTATACTGCAGGGTTATTCCACATGCAGCATTATTGAAAGTGCTTGCAGGTCCTGAAATTAGTGTACTGAATACTGATTCAACTGAAAGGAAGAAGCAGGGAATGAGAAGCCCATGAATCATTTCAATAGAAAACAACTGAAAGGGTTGAGTGCTAAACTAAAGCAGTTTCCCTTTTTAAGATAAAAGGTAATACTCAGCCATTGGCACCACGTAGCTCTACACACAAGCGTTCCTCTTTGTGATGTATGAAAGTGTATCTCTCAAGGGGGTTATGGCTGAGAAAACAGGACAGTTCACTTTTTTTGCACTTTTTCTTCTGTATACGTGTTCAGTTCAGATTGGGGAAATACTCATCACTAGCTAAGCACTGGTAGGTTTTAGAAACCAGCAAACTTACAAGCAGAAGCGTTTAGAAGTTGAAGGCCAGAACCTGGACAATTTCTGATTCAGTTTTATGTTATATTTGTTGATGCAGCTACTATTGTTACTGTGTCTCGGTTTCCCGATTTTGGTTTGGCCTCCTTTTCTTTGACCTTGGCTGGAATCTAGGACCTGTTTCTGTAATCAACAACAAGTAGGTCACCTGCAATCCTTTCACCTTGGCACAACAAGACTGAGTGAGTGCCTTGGGCCACAAACAGACAATAGAGATAGCCTGGAAATAATGCTGGAACCATATTAGCATTGCAGAAAGGTGATTGATGCTGCTGTTCCATGTTTGTGAAACTAGACTTCAAAAGAATCTCTGGCGTTAGTCCTCATGACCAACCACCAAATAAATCAAGCTACTTTGCATAATGTCAGAGGTGAGAGAAACCCATGCTGTGACACTCAGAAATTCACATTGTGTCTTCCAGACACAATGTATTTCTAGTATCTGTTTCTGGTTCAAGGCTGGCATGGCAGTGATGTTTTGACCCCCAGTGCTGCTGCAGGTTTTGTTTCTTATCGTGATTGATTGTGGAGCAGCTTGTAGGTTGTCAATGTGCGCCCTTTTACAAGGGACTGTACCTCTCTGAAGGGCTGCCACATCCTCTTGTGGAAGGAGTCCTTTGCCTGAAGGACTTCATTCTGTTCCCAGTCTGATTTGAAGCAGGAATAATTAGGAACACTATGGTTGCCCACCTGCAATTAGCACCTGGACTGCAGATTCACCTTGCCAAGGACTTCATTACTCAGGGAGATGTATTCTTATCCTGTCTGAAATTACAAACATGATTTCTAATCTTGCACATATAAGTTAGCATATGC